AAATGTCACTGTCGCGCATAACCTGGTGGCGTATGGGGCGATTTTCAAATTGCCAAGCAACTTTTAAGAGACTGTGGTTTTGTTGGAAAATGGTTTCGGAAGGTTTGGAGGTTAGAGTGGAATTGGAGTTTTTGCGTTCGGTATTTGAAACGCTGAAAAGTGGCTAAAATTAGGCAATTTTAGCGATTTTTTCAAAAAAGTTTGAAAATTAAAAAAAATGTCAAAAAGCCGACTTTTTTACTAAATTTCTATTTTATTCTAACTTTTTTTATTTCCTGGAATTCAAAGAAATTTTTGGAACATTTGTAAAAGTGATACATTTGGCTCCACTGGTGAGTTTTTCAAAGATCCAAGAAAGTTTCGCCTCTTCTAGAGCTCGAAACTATTTAATGGAAATGGAAATATTGATTTTTTTTGAAAATTTTCTCCAATTCAGAGCAATTTTTGCAGAAATAACACGTTTTGCTTTACGCTGGTGTTTTTCAAAGCTCGAATTGTGCTTTTGGAAGATCGATTGCGAAAATTTCGCCTTCACTAGAGCTGGTAACTCGTTGATTTTTGAAGTTTCCTTAAAAATGCAAGTGGAAAACGATCGAAAATTTAACATTTAATAAGGAATAACACAAATATCACAGTCTCTAAAAAGTTTGTTAGAAAATCTTCCCATACACAGCCACAGACACAATCGATCTTCTAAAAGCCTCATTGGACCTTTGAAAAACACCAATGTGAATCAAACCGTATTAATTCTACAAAAAATTCAAAAATTCCTTTGAATTTCAGAAAATTTTGAAAATTTGCATAAATTTTTAAGTTCAAAAAAGTAAAATATGATGGAAACAATCAAATTTTCAGAAACTCTAAAGGCTGTTAAATTTTCGATCGTTTCCCACTTCAATTTTTACGAAAACTTTCAAAAAATCAACGAGTTTTGAGCTTTAGAAAAGGCCCAATTTTCGCAATCGATCTTCTAAAAGTCCAATTGGATCTTTGAAAAACACCATCGTGAACCGAAACGTGTTATTTCTACAAACATTTCAAAAATTCCTTTGAATTGCTGTAAATTTCGAAAATTTCCATTAATTTTGAAAATTTAAAAAAAGGTTAAACATTTTGAAAAAAAAWAAAAATTTCAAAAATTCTTTAAAACTGTAAAAAATTTGTGTTAAATTTTCGGTCATTTCTCACTTCAATTTTAAAGCAAACTTCAAAATTCAACGAGTTACGAGCTCTAGAAAAACACCAAAGAGAAGCAAAATATATCACTTTTACAAATATTTCAAAAAAGTAATACTGGAAAAAAATTAAAAGTTTCAAAAATATTGGAATATTGAATTATTATGAAAATATCCGAAAATGTTGAAAATTTTCCTTCGTTTCTCACTTCAATTTTTAAGAAAACCTCTAAAACCAACGAGTTTTGAGCACTAGAAAAACACCAAAGTGAAGCAAAATGTATCACTTTGACGTGACGTGAATGTGATAATTTTGACAAAAATTTAAAATGTAAAATATTGGGATATTAAAGAAAAATTCCTGAGTTGCAGAAAGTTTTGAAAATTTCCATAAATTTTGAAAAGTTCAAGAAAAGTCAGAAATATTGAAAAAATATAACAATTCCAAAAACTTTAAACGTCAAATTTTCGATCGCTTCCCACTTTAATTTTAAAGGAAACTTCAAAGCCCAACGAGTTACGAGCTCTAGAAAAACACCAAAGTAAAGCAAAATATGTCACTTACAAAAATATTTGAAGTGATAATTTAAAAAAAAAAATTAAAATTTAAAAAATTTTGGGATATTGAAATTCAAAGGCTGTAAATTTTGGATCGTTTTTCCATAAATTTTCAAAATTTGCAGAAAATTAAAAAAATCAAAATTTCCATAAATTTCTAAAATTTCAAAAAAGGTTRAAAATWTTGGAAAAAAATAAAAAATTTAAAAGTTTTTTAAATCTWAAATTTTTTATCGTTTYCCACTTSAATTGTTAAGGAAACTTAAAAAATCAACGAGTTTTGASCTTTAGAAGAGSCGAAATTTTTGCAATCGATCTTCTAAAATTGGTGAAGCAAACCGTGTTAATTCTACAAAAATTWATAAAAATTCCTTTGATTTTCAGAAAATTTTGAAAATTTCCATAAATTTKGAAGTTCAAAAAATGTTAAAATTCTTGGAAAAAATCAAATTTTCAAAAACTCTTTAAAAGTTGTTTTTTCGATCGTTTCCCACTTCAATTTTTACGGAAACTTCAAAACTCAACGAGTTACGATMTCTARAAAAACACCAAAGTGATAATTTTGAACAAAAATTTAAAATGTCAAAAAYATTGCAATATTGAAATTATGAAAATATCCAAAAATTTGAAAATTTTCATTATTTTTGAAGGTCAGAAGAGGTTGAAAATTTTCGAAAAAAATCTCAAAAACTATTTCAAGATTGTTACATTTGGGATAGTTTCCCAGAACAATTTTTAAGAAAACTTAAGAAATCAACTAGTTTTGAGCTTTAGAAGTGCAATTTTTACAATCGATCTTCAAATTTTCCATAAAAATTTCAAAAAAGGTTCAAAATTAAAAAAAGAAAATTTCAAAAATTATTTAGATTGTTAAATTTTCGATCGTTTCATACTTCAACTTTTAAGGAAACCTCAAAATTGAACGACCAACAAGCTCTAGAAGAGGCGAAATTTTCGCATTCGATTTTCCAAATGTTTCAAAAAATCCTTAAAATTTCGGAAATTTGAAAAATTTCTAAAATTGAAAGTGAAAAAAAAATTAAAAAAAACACAAAAACTTTTTAAAAGTTGTTAAATTGTCGATGGCTTTCCACTTCAATTTTATTAAGGAAACTTTTTAAATCAACGAGTTTCGTCGTCTAGAAGAGGTGACATTTTCGCATTCGATCTTCCTAAAGCCCAGTTGGATCCTTCAAAAAAAAAAACACCAAATTGAAGCAAAATGGGTTTTTTGATCAAAGGTTTCAAAAAAAACATATAAAAAAATTTAAAAATTCAAAAACGGTTGCAAATTTTTGGAAAAAAAATTCCGAAAACTCTTTAGAAGTTGTTAAGTTTTCCCGCTTTTTCTCTTCCAAT